TGACTATAACACCAGCTCAGGCAGTCGTGCAGACACCCAGGAGGGGGAGGAGGTCAATCGAACCAGGATTGTGTGAGCCTCTCTCTTGTCTGGTCAAACCAGGATGACCGAAAGTGTTGGAGTTTGTTGTATAGAGGTCGAAGAGATTCGTACTCAGGAGAAGTACTAGAAGGGCTGATCTCTCAAGCTTTGTGAGATGTTCTTTTGGTTTGACTAGATTTATGTGTATATGCGGCGCCTAGGTCCTGGTATGTAGGTCAAGAATTTAGGTGAAAAATAAGCTACTTCTACTCTGTTGGAGATTGTATGGATGGGCATGATGGGCAGAGCGGTTTGCTTGTTTTGGACCTTGGCGCATTGACTGAAGACACTCGGCTGTAAAGCAGGCCAAGTGTTCTTCTTGGTAATGGATCCTCAGCTGTGAAACTTGTCCAGCTGTGAAGAATCTAAAGGCTGAGTTCGAGCTGTCAAGCAAAGTGTGGTTTTGAACTTCAACTTGTCTTGTGAGCTTGGAATGTTCACATTGTTCAAGCTAATGGTAAGTAGAAAGTTGTCCAAAAATATGCACGTTCCTCGATCTTATTTGTTTGCTTGCAGCCATCAGTTAATGATGCCAAATGAACGCAACCTGAGCTGGATGCTGTGAGCCTCTTTTCCCCTTCATGTCTCCGCTTGGTCCTGGGTGCTTTGCTTGAGAGTTAGGGTGGGATCATTTGGAGATGGACTCAAAGGTAGGAGGCTGGGGTTGTCCTCGCCCACCTTCCCGGGACCTTGTTGCCTGGCTAAAAGCCAAGCAGGATACATGGATGCACCTTCTGCAACATGAATGCTCACAGCTGCCAAAAGACGTGGTGTCTCGTGTTTCAAAACTCTTTGTTCAGAAGCTCAGTCAGTTTGCCTACTGATCTTGATGACAGATGTCAAGGGTGGCAGCGGCATCCAATACTTGTGGCATCTTATGGCATATGAGGTTGAGTGATTACTAGCTGTTGGCCAATCTTTGGTGCAATTCCAAGCTTCTCAGGACATCTCAGGACCTATTCCCGCTAACAGTCAAAGTGAGCGTGTGTATCGGTCCCAGTGCTTTGGTCTTGTTGCAGTGTCGCCAGCGGCTTGCTCATAGCTGCGCAGAGCAAACTCTGCGGAGCTGTGATGAAATAAGCTTGCAAAGGTGACACTGCAAACATGTATTGTTATCAAAGTTGAATCTCAGACGCAGAATGGAGCTGGTCCATTTCCTTCTGCCGGCTTTCATGTCCATGACCGTGGAAGCTGAAAGAAAGTCATCATCAAAGGAGCGAACTCCCAACCAATGGTATGAAGAGTTGCTGTTTGCTTGAGAGATCAAGAAGCTCTTGGACACCCTGGTGACTTTTTGTGCTGGAAGCTTTTTGTGGCTCTCAGCACAGATCCGGATCCCCCAATTTGGATTCTGCTGTCCACTTCGAAGCCATGTTTCGAGTGCTGCTGCGCTTGGCAGTAGTGCTTCTTGGGCTAACTGTGGGCCAAGCGGGTGCTGAGCTTTGCCTCGACGATGGTGTGCCAGAAAGCCAGCGAAAGTACATTCAGGCAGGATGCAAAGCATGCATGGTGTTGTGTTAACGAGAACCTGCGAAAGAAACCCTTGTAGCAGATATCAGCACAGCATTGTTGTATGCAAAATTGAGATCGACCAATGTGCCAAACTCTGCGATGGCTTAGGATGATTCGGGCAACGACATTCCAATTGGAGTGATTGAATGCGGCTGGGCATCTTCCACGTTTCTCAACAACATGGCACTGATGATGATTCAAGAGGTTCTCGGTTTTCATGCAGTAATCGATCCCCGCGTGGGCGCCAGTGGAGCCTCTCCCATCTATGCATTGGCCGGATGCGTCGACTTCGACAATGCCAAGGAAAAGAATTGTGGCTCAGAAACGAAGATCCATGTCAGTGTGGACTCCTGGTCTGGAACCCACGCTGCAGCTCAGCAGAAGTTTGCGAAGGAATACCCAAGGCTTGCAGCCGAGGATTTGGGGAGTATGGGATATTCGGGCGAAGAGTCCATGTACGTGAGCCATGAAATTCTCCATGCTGCCTACAGTGACTCCGGTCTTGCCTTGGACTTCTACAAAAGCTACTTTGCCAAAGAGTTGGAAAGACGTGTCTTTTAAACTTGACCGTTTGACATTGAGTGACAGGCAACAGGCTTTAAGCTGCAAGAATAGCCATGGTTGACCATCCGACTTATGATGCAAGCCTCAAAAGATGTGGTTGTATAGGTAGATATGAGCATCCATCCCCAAGCAAATTCCAATGCACGGGGATTGTCCTTGCACACATGGCCGATTTTCATGAGGAAGGAACTCATGAACTAAAAAAGCAGGGTTGCAAACCTCCTTGGATTTCCAAGAGTACTATTATAAATATATATATATACATATTTGTTTTGCGGGGTGAGCTGTTGCAGCGCCAGGCTCACATTGAGTCAGAGGATCTGAAATCACTTGATGTTGCGAGTACTACCTGGAATGATGCCATTAGTAGGTTTTTCAAACAGTGGATAGCAGTGGATAATGGTGGTTGCCTTGTGGTTTGAGTTTGACCGACGCTTGAACGGAGGCTACAACACTACGCATCACGACCCAAAGAGACTGGGCTGCTGAAAGGATGAGCTGAATACTTTTGTGGGTACTAGGCCTTTTTATGATTTTGACCACCTGCATAAGCCCTGCCAAGTCAGGAAATACTTCGACTCAATTCACGATGTGGACATGTCAGAATTGGCATTGTGCAACGAGACGGTCATGAGTCATCCGAATCGAATGGGAAACTATGCTCGCTTTTCTGGCGACTACGATGGGGTTCTGAGCCAAGCAGACGGTTCATTCATCGCCAAGTGTTCAAACAATCGTTGGTGGTACGCACCTGCATGCCGCCAGAATGCCTCCACATGCATCCCTGTTTTCACAGGAGGGGATGGTTGGAAGTTGCAGGCGATGATGCAGTGGTCAACTGCATATGGAATTCCAGCCGCCATCGCAATCTCCGGAGGATGGTCCATGTTTGTGAAACACGTTCAAAGTCATCGGGCTCTCCATTATTGGTGGGTTCCAGATGCGACCTTCATCGACATGTTGCCCGAGCAGCTGCAGGTTGCTCGTCAGAGTGCCAATGAGTGGCTCGCGGGAGACAAGAAAACGGGAGGCCAAGGAAGCTACGTGTCTAAGATGGTTAGCAACAACTTGCAATCGAAGGCTGGCCGTGTCCGCGAGTTCCTTCGTCCCATTTAGTAGGCTGTTCAAGTGTTTGTTCACCGTTTGACAGAGTTGTTTGTGGTGTGGGCCTGTGTCTGTGTGTTCATTTGCTTGTGGTTGCCTTTGTGTCATCCTATAATACTTGTTTGTCGGCTGGAAACATTTGCAGATCATGATTTTTGGTAACCTCCTTTGTCCACAGCTTTCTTGGCATTGACACTGTCAATTTTGCTGTCTTGGAGAACCAACGACGCTTGTACAGACCAAAGACTTTTTCCAGGTTCGTGTCCAACATCAATTTCGAGCTACCGGAAGTGCAAAGCCTTCTCTTGGATGTTCAGCGGTCAGGTTCAAGCTACAATGTTTCCTGCAAGTGGATGCGCGACAATCGAGCCAGGCGACGGTCTGTCCAAAAGTAGTTCAAGAACTGGTCGACACGTTCCACAAGGTTTGATATTTTTTGATGGCAAGGGTGACTAGGTTTTTGAGCAAATTGGTCATCACTGTTGTCTTGTTGTGGTGTTGAAACACGGGAAACCTTACAGAAGACCCCCTGAATCTGTGACAAGCCACATGTTTTCTTTAAGATCTATGTTGTGACCCACTTTTGTTGTGCCTTGCTTTTAGCTGAGGTGGTCAGCATGGAAACCAGTGGAGACCAGCTGCTACGAAGGCTTTGGGTTGGTTGATGCTTCCGGGAGCTTTGTCTCCAACAGGACAACCGCAGTTGGATGTGGACTTTGTCAGGCTGGAACTGCATCGGAAGAGCTCATTGATGATGTGGGAAGGACCTTTCAATGCAAGCCTTGCCCTCCTGGCTACAGCCAACCAAATACTTACTCCACCCAATGTGAGCCATGTCCCACGGGCACCTCAGCCAGCATGTATGGAAGCACAAGATGCACTCCGTGCAATGAGGGAGACTATCAACCAGATGCGGCTCAGACCTCTTGCATCCCGTGCGGCGCTTCCCGAACAACACTCTTGTTGGGTGCATCATCTGTGGCAGATTGCGTTTGCCAAGAAGGGAAGATCGAGAAACTTTCCACATGCATGGAGTGTGATGAGCAAAGCATGCATTGCCCGAGAGGTAGCACTATTGAGAAGCTTGAGGCAGCAGACGGAACTACAGACTTGAAGATTCCTTTTGTGAAGAAAGGTTTCTTCAGCAAGCTGCATTTGCTTCAGCCTGTTTTAGGTTCTATCACGTTCTCGTATAGAATGAGATTGTCCTTGTTGTTGTGCAGTTGTTTTGTGGCATCCAAGGCAATCCAGAAGAGCCTCTTGACACCTACAGATGCACTGCGGAGCTCTTTTGCCCCGGTGGCTCCCCAGGTGTTTGCTTTGGAGACCGCAAAGGCTTGACTTGTGGCGACTGCGCTGATGGATATTATTGGGCTTCCAACCAATGCGAACCTTGTGGAGCGGTGTCAACAGCATGGGCCTTGTCAGTGACTTTGGCACTTGTTTGCATTTTTGGCTCCTACTATATGCTAACCTCGAGCTATACGGCAAAAGCCAGTGTGATGATGTCCACCACTGCAGCCTTGGGAATGCTAGTGGCCCTGTTCCAAAATCTCGGCGTTTTGAACACCGTTGCTGTGCAGTGGCCAGATGGCTTGGAAGCGATCCTGAATTTTGCCTCACTCTTTACCTTCAACCTTGATGCTCTTGGCCTTAGCTGTGCTGCCGGTGGTAATGTGGGCCGATATGTGAGCACCGCATCTTTCTTTTGGATTGTGACTCTCGCGTTGCCCACTGTTGGTTTGCTCACGAACTTCATTCCCATTCTGAGGAGCCGCCAGCTAGCATGGGAGAAGAACAAGACAATCAGCACGCTGGGACAGTTCTTGCAGGTTGGCTTCACGACCATGTGCAATGTTGGCGTCATGCCTTTTATGTGCTACCGACACCCTACTGGTCAAGAAAGTATCTTGAAGTATCCCAATGTATTCTGCGGGACAGATGAGCATGCTCTTTGATCAGAAACAGCAAGTTTTTGAAACGACCCTCAGGGCTGTTTTTGTTGGCTCGTTTCAATCACTGAGTGAAAGGTACAGGAACCCCCCCTAGAGCATACAGTATCGTTGGTCATTGTCTCTTAATTGGGTTTAGTCCTGGTGAGTTTCAGCAAGTGGGTTCAGCTGGTGTGCATTCTGGGGACTCAAAAGCAGAGAGTCACCCACATTCCATGCAACTGCTTGGAGGGGATTTCTTTTTTGGGGCAAGTCCACGTGCTAGCAAGTCAGGTGATCATGAAAGTCTTTGGAGCCTTGGTGATCTTGTTGGCCGGCAGCTTCTTCACAGCAGCTTGCTATGCGGCCTATCAAGCGCCCAAGTGGTCAGGGAAAGCCAGGCCGTCGTTGCGGTTTGGGCGTTCACCCATCAAGCGCTGACCATTGGTTGATACTAAATGTCAGAAAACACATGTTACTCAGCAATTTGGCAGGAAGCTGACCATAGGAAGAAACATCAATAAACTGAAGTTGTTAAAGAAGTTGACAAACTGTATTAGGAAGAGGCTGTGCTGGCCAGATAGTTGAGCGAAGCTCTTGGCACAGATGGTAGAGCAGACAAGGCAACTGCAAAACAGACCAAACACCAAAATCCGATACTTGAAACGGAAGAACACTCCACCCCCTGACTACACCTCGATGTGTGACATCGTTCGAAGGCTGGCATCCATTCGCTTCTTGGTCTTCCGCTTCCGGCCCGATGTGTGGTATTTCGGCTTGGTCCTCTTGGCTCGAGGACCTTTGCTGTCCTTGCCCGGTGTGATCGCTACCAATATGCCCAGTTTGCATCTTGCCGCCAGGAAATCACCCTCTTA